TCAGCGCTCTGACCTCTGAGCCGTTTCAGCACCTGCATTATATTTCTCAAACTAATACATCACAACTTCGCTGAAACAAACTCTCTACAATCCACTTTTGATCGTGAAGATTTTGTTTTCTTATCATGTCCCCACGGATGGCTGCACAATGAACTTAATAACTCTGCCTTTTAAACCATTTAATCTGCCCACTCTCAGCTCAAAAGCCTACTTTCGGGACAATGACATTTTCCACGACACCCCCTCACTAGCATTAGATTAGGTTTTTTTTCTTCCTGAGAGCTATGGGTGAAGCGGAGGACGGCGCTGGAAGGGATGAGACCATGGGATAGTAATAATAACTGAGTGGCAGCCAAGGAATGGAACGCATCTGAGTGGAGTCTATCGTGGGGACGGAACGAGGAATCGGGTTACGTGCAGATCCTTAGTGTGGTTTAATCATGGGGGGGGGGGGGGGTGGTGCCGGCTTGGGGGATGTCTTCATCCAGCAGTGGAGTGACCATGGCTGATGGGGATTTAGTGAAGGAAAAGCAATGCCGCTCATCCTATTAGAATAAATACACGTAAAAGGACCGATGCAAACAAGATGCTTTTATTATGCTTTCACTTAAGCATATCATTCATATTAATAACACTGGTGTACATATGTATATGCAAAAGATAATGTATGTATGCTGAACTCCTTTAGCACCGTACGTATTCAACCGTACTAATCGGAGGTGCGGGGGGAAGAACAACGAACGAAAACACGACTTTAGATATAGAATGGATGATACCTTACAGCAACGTGCAATAAATACAGCAGAATCTCATCGACTCGGCCCGCAATGCCTCACCACCACCACCACCAACCAAACCAGCGTCGCAGCAAAATCGATGAATGGCCACAATTCGAGGCCACGGTTTGATTCGGAGAATCGATCAAATACCGTGGCGAGTGTTAGGCGTCTAAAGGAGCCTGCAGGCGGTCCATATGAACCTATTACAAGCAGACACATGCGAATCGATGCACGCATCCGAAGCTTGGAGGATCGATATGTATGTACGGTATGTTGAACTTCTTTCGCACCGTACGTAGCCAACCGTGATAATCAGAGGTGCAGTGTTGAGTCTATGGTTAGTGTTAGTCTATAGGCAGTGTTGAGTCTATGGTTAGTGTTAGACTATGGGCAGTGTTGAGCCTATGGTTAGTGTTAGTCTATGGGCAGTGTTGAGTCTATAGTTAGTATTAGTCTATGGGCAGTGTTGAGTCTATGGTTAGTGTTAGACTATGGGCAGTGTTGAGCCTATGGTTAGTGTTAGTCTATGGGCAGTGTTGAGTCTATAGTTAGTATTAGTCTATGGGCAGTGTTGAGTCTATGGTTAGTGTTAGTCTATGGGCAGTGTTGAGTCTATGGTTAGTGTTAGTCTATGGGCAGTGTTGAGTCTATGGTTAGTTGTAGTCTATGGGCAGTGTTGAGCCTATGGTTAGTGTTAGTCTATGGGCTGTGTTGAGTCTATGGTTAGTGTTAGTCTATGGGCAGTGTTGAGTCTATGGTTAGTGTTAGTCTATGGGCAGTGTTGAGTCTATAGTTAGTGTTAGTCTATGGGCAGTGTTGAGTCTATGGTTAGTGTTAGTCTATGGGCAGTGTTGAGTCTATGGTAAGTGTTAGACTATGGGCAGTGTTGAGTCTATGGTTAGTGTTAGACTATGGGCAGTGTTGAGTCTATGGTTAGTGTTAGTCTATGGGCAGTGTTGAGTCTATGGTTAGTGTTAGTCTATGGGCAGTGTTGAGTCTATGGTTAGTGTTAGTCTATGAGCAGTGTTGAGTCTATGGTTAGTGTTAGTCTATGGGCAGTGTTGAGTCTATGGTTAGTGTTAGTCTATGGGCAGTGTTGAGTCTATGGTAAGTGTTAGACTATGGGCAGTTTGAGTCTATGGTTAGTGTTAGACTATGGGCAGTGTTGAGTCTATGGTTAGTGTTAGTCTATGGGCAGTGTATTGATATTAAACTTCTTTCGCACCGAACGTAGCCACCCGTGCTAATCGGAGTTGCGGGGGAAAGGACAACTGAATCGATGCATCACCCCCACTACCATCGCCAAAAGTGAAGTCACCTCAAATGAACGTTGAGTGGATGCTGATGACGAGGTTCCTGAGCCATTAGTTGAAATTCCACGTTCCTGTGGCAGGGATCTACATAGGACAACCGCTGTTGACCTCCTGCCAAAGCAGTGGTAATATTCTTTGTCAACCCTGGATGGCTGCTGGTGATGCTGACAACACGAGTGAGGGTTCTGAGACTTAACTAACCGAAGTTGCCTTCAACATCTGACACAACGGAATAAAAAAAGTGTAAAAAGGTTGTGGACCGATGGCAACTTTCCCACAACTACCACACAACCAAGGGCAGCCTGTCAGAAGCGTCCTTGCGGTGTACGGTAAAGGCGCAGCCCTGCAATTTCTTGCCCACGCTCACTGCCGGTGGAAGGGACTCCTCAAAGAGAGGCATTCGAGAGGGTATTTTGACTCACTCGTACACACTCGCCACGTGTAATCGGAAGAGAAGTGGGGGGGGTACCCACACATTACTTCACCGCACGCGAGCTGCTGATGGATTTAGTGAATATGGTGAACCAATTGATGCTGCTGGGTGGAGACAGAGGTGGTGGTGGGGGTGGGGGAGAGACTTAAGAGACCGGCGACCTCTGAATTGCAAGTTCAACGTACTAATAGTTACACCGTGGCATCTTCCATTGTACAAAGCATTAAAAATAACCGGAACAACAACAACAATAATAATAAAACGACGACGGCGATCACCATCCAACTTCTCACGCTGGGCGCGAATCGGCTGGCGTCCATCGGCGAAGGCAAAAAAAGCCTCCAAAAAAGTCCTCGGTTTTGAACAAAATCAAAAGCTACGGCGCGGAGAGGTACAAAAAAACCGAAGCGCAAAAAAAAGATAATCGAGGCTGGAGGATTCGCTGGTTGGAGGGGGGTGGTGGGGGGGGGGGGGGGGGGGGGTGGGGGCGGTGGTGGTGACGGTGGTGGTGGTGGGAGCGGTGGTGGTGGTGGGGGGGGTGGTGGTGGGTGGGGGCTTCACTCTCCGGCCCTCCGCGCCACCTGCAGCCCCAGCAGCGCGCAGCACAGCACGGCCGCTTTGGCGGAGGTCGTGGACCTGGCGGGGCCTCCGTTGGGCTCCAGGCTCCGGGCGCCTCCCAGCGACCTGAAGCCTGGGGCGCCGGCGGCGGCGGTGGCGGCAGTGGGGAGCTGGGCCACCTCGTGCAGGAAGGCGGCGAACAGCTTGATGCCGTTGATGTAGTTCACCCTGCGTTGTGTTGGGCGGGGGGGCACAACGACGCTCGGCTGTTAAGGCATCACGATTTGTTTTTTTGTGGGTCGGTGTGGGAGCACGGGGGGGTGGGGTGGATGGGGGGGAGTGGGGGGGTGCACGGGGGGGAGTTGGGGGGGTAGACGGGGGAGGGAAGTGGGCGGGGGGGGGTACACGGGGGGATATGGGGGGGAGTGGGGGAAGACGGGGGGGGTGAGTGGGGGAAGACGGGGGCGAGTGGGGGGTACACGGGGGGATGTGGGGTTGGGTAGACGGGGGGGAGTTGGGGGGGGGATAGACAGGCGGGGGGGGGGGGATCAATGGAAGGGGTGGTGGGATAGGTGGAGACAAATGCTAATTTTTATTTCGACTTCAACAATATATTTAAATATTCTCCAACATGAATACATGATCACAGCAAAGCTTAAGCACTGGGGCCCTCTGCTGGTTTGGTGACCGCAGTCCGATGACTCGTGGGAATGACTCTTAGCTTATTGCCGTGCAACTACTGAACACAGTGAATGGGGCAATTCAATGGGATGGGCTTGGGGAGCTACCCAATCTGGAGGGAGTGGCATCACACGAATCCTTGCAAAACACCATCCCGCAACGAGCTGTGATATCCGCAGAAGAGGCTTTCTCCCAGAAGCATCGCACCCATGGGTTACCGTGTGGGTCATGCGAGTCTCTGTATGAGTCTATATGGGTATCTATGTGAGACTACGGGTCTCCATGTGAGTCTGTGGGTCTTTGTGCGAGTCTATGGAGTTCTCTATGTGAGCTTTAGAGAATCGAGCTAGCCTCGTACCATGGGTCTCTGTATTAGTCTATGTGAGTCTGTGGGTCTTTGTGCGAGTCTATGGGGTCTCTATATGAGTCTTAGTGATCGAGCTAGCCTCGCACCATGGGTCTCTATGCATGGGGCAAATCTTCACTTGGTGTCACCATTGAGACCAAGAACGGCCAAATCGATCAATTTGACATCGTGCGAATGGATTAATAAAATGTTATTGAAATATAATCAGCCTCTCTCCCTGTCTCTTGAGTTCTCTACCCATGGGCAGGCTCCGTGGCTGAAGCTCCTTCCATCCCAGCTCAGCCCAGTCCCTCACCATCACCTCGCTGCGACACGCACCACACTCGAGCCTCGTGCATTACGGGGAGTGAAGGAATGGGCAAGCTGGCTTCCCCTTGCCTCCCTCAACAGCGTTGTTTATAGGTGACACCACCGCCAGATGCAGGTTAACGTCATAGCCGGGACATGACACATAATTGACGATCGCGGCGTGTGATGTTATGGCACCAACACGTACATATTCGAATCATCAAGGGACAACCAATGCAGTCTTTTCATACCCTCTGGTTCTTTCGGTAAAGTCACGTGGATAGAAAACATAATAAAAAGAACACGACATTTCGGTCGCAACTCAAGCGTCCGTCATCAGGTGACGCTTGTGTTGCGACCGAAACTTCGTGTTCTTTTATTATTATTTTCTATCTCCGTGACTTTACGGAAAGAACCAGAGAGTATGGATTCCTGCAGCTTCAAATCAAGATTCAGTCTTTTCATATTTCACTTAAATTAATCACGCTGAATTTGTTGTGGTTTCAGGCAATATGATCTGCAATAGCTCATGCAAGTTAACATGCTTTACGTAGCAATAAAGATATAGAAATACAGCCGTATGCATTTGCTCATAGTTTATTTTTCTAATGGCTTTAATGTCCACAGCACATACAAATTAACATGGCTCGAATCAATCCATCTTCTTGTTTCAGCGAGTCCCAACCAAACAGCATCGTCATGGCATATACGGCACATCATCATCATCACGATCCATGGGCAGATAGCCTGTAGGTCCATAATATAGGTTTTTGGGTTAGCTCATCTAAATATATAAATGTATCATTAAAACCCGCCGCCACCGGACACAGCCAACTAGTAAGGGTTGTCACCTAAACAGAATGTGCCAATTCGTCACGAGTACAGCACACCGGTGTGTTGGAGAGCTAAGCCACAACAGCCAGCTGCCTGGATTCAAACCCAGGCTCCCAGCTTTGCCAGCTCAGTGCTTTAACCTCCGATCCACTTGGTAACCTCGGGCTAAAGGCATTTTAAACCCCACGATACTATGATGCTGCACGAGACAGATCGTTTAATGGAAACCTTCGATGAGATTTCCAACCTCTATGAATCTGAATTTTCTATTTTTAATAGTGCAATAGATTATATTATCTCGAAGGGAGTGGTGGTAAAGTGAATAGCGCACTGAACGAAAGCCTGATGACCCAAATTCCATTCCCGGCCATGGTTAATATCAGCGGTGAGTAGTATCTGAACAAGTGCTGGGCTTTCCTCACTTCACTAACCCACGTTGACCGGTGTAGGGGTCAAGTAGAGTCAAGCAACACCCATGGCCCCCCACGATGTAGAGATGCCCTCATCCAGCAGTGGATTGACACAGGAGGCTGTACTCTCGCACGTTTCTCGTTTGAACGTAATCCAAGCTTTGGTAGGTTCATCGCAGCACATGCAGCGTGCAATTATATACACAACCCTGCAAATATCAGCGTGCGGTTATTAGTTGTGTAATTGTACAGAATTTCGTCGAAATGAATGGCATGGTTGTAAACTAAAAACGGGGGCACTCGTTTTGTCACCGACAGCCCATCACTTTATCGACGTCAGCAAGAAAGTCTTCACACCATGGTCATGACGTTAGGGGCCCGAAATCACGTTGGCAATAAAACATAGTCATCTCTCGATTGTCCGTGGGCATGTTACCCGTGTTTCTGATTAACCGTGCTTATAAAAAAAACAAATAAAATGTATTTATGCAGATGCCGGCACAATCATTAGCTGCTCATAACTCGTTGAGGGTCAGTGGCTCGGGGCCCACGTGACCTCAGACCAGGGCCGGATGGTCGCATTACTGGGGCCCTAAACTTCCGCAAAACTTAAGAGAACCCCATCAAGGAATGCCTCTAAATTTTTTTCATATTGGAATAAATATTACTGTTTTAGAAAGCATTCCCCCCCCCCATCTCCTTTATTTTTCAACCGATTATATTAAAATTGAAACTTTGAATTATTTTTTGTTTTTTGTGTTTTCCGTATTTAGAGGCCCCACGTAACTCGAGGCCCTAAGCCGTGGCTTACTTAGCTAAGGCCTAAACCCGGCCCTGCCTCAGGAATTCCGTGAGGAAACATACAAGTGTGATTTTAACAATTCAAGAACATGTTTGTGGTACGGAAACTGCTTTCTGCACCACCATACAAAATAAAATCCTCGTTCTAAGTTTTCGCTCCCATTCCACGTGGGGAATCGATGCACACGCATAAAAAAGCCGAATACACTTTTATTTATTTTTATCATGTATCCTTTTGTTTTATCTGGGTTAACCGTCTCCACCATTACCCAGGATATTCGAGAGCTGACATAATTGGTAGTATTTGTTTTTTTCATCAAAATGTGCCAATATATTTTGGAATTAACGCCAAAGCTACTTTACCGCCACGTACGGTGTGAAAGAAGTTTAACATACATAGATACTGATCATTCTTCCCAAAATCAAGTGGTTCCATTTCCAGCTTCCGCACGGCATTTGGAAGCGTTACCGAATTGTTGTTTGTCAAACAGATACGACAGCAGAAATCACCTGCTAAAAATTGCAAATTATCCTCCCTATCCTTGAGAAGGCTCGCCTGATCTCGTTTTTAGGTTTCGTAGTTCACTGCCCTGTGCATCACTGAGCGGGCGGCACATCCGAATTCCCAACATCCTTTGCAGCTGGCTCCCGCGGAAGCTGTCCCACCTCATGCAGGAAAGCGGCAAACACTTTGATCCCATTGATGAAGTGTATCCTGCATTGAGACAAACAACAGAGCGGTGCACTGCATCAAACTGGCCAGCCATGCATGCCGCGAGCACTCACTCAATCACTCTGCCCAGGCAGTCGCTTGGCTTAAAGGCGTCCTGATTTGGTCGGAACAGTCCCCTGGTGGTTTCAGAAAAAGTTGCCCGAGTGTATCCCGTAAACATTTGCGAAAAGTGGAATGCAGGGAGTCCTTTACTGACGAACTAGTTGGGTTCCAGAGGTATGTTCGTAAGTTGATTTGTTCGTAAGTACAACTTTACTCTTGTCGATTCCAAATGCGTTGTACAGCGTGTACACTAAACATGGGGAATGGCTTTAAAAGCTGTATAATTTCGTGTCGACGTAGATGCCACTGGTTCTTCACGTTCTGCAGATGTAGATGCCACCACCGCCATATATTGAGTGGCGGTTGAACTTACGACTCTCGATTCGAACAGCCAACTGGACACACGGACAGGTTTGTTCGTATCTCTGAACATTCGTGAGTCGAATGTTCGTAAGTAGAGGAGTCCCTGTATTCTTCCGACGGCTTTATGCCCAACTGATAATATGGGCAAAGGAGGGTGGAGCTACCTGATAAATGGGAGGGACTACCTGAGTCAGAATTAGAATATTTATTTATCCTGGAGAAATCTGATAAGCTACGAAGCTCTTTTGTTTTACAGTTGTCCAGTAGGGCTTGGTCGGAAGGTTACAACAGCAAACAATGACAGGAGTGCAACGAACAGGGAAGGTGAGAAAATAAATCTACAAATTCCCAAGCCTGGGAAAGGCAGAAAAACAACAGCAAAAGCAGTCCCAGACCACATCAAGACAACACGCAGTCCCTCCATATAATTGCACATTAAAAATTAACTATCAATCCATGGGCAAGGATGAAAGTTACAAATCACATTTGCAAACGCAGTTGTATCCAGTACTAGTCTTCTGGTTCAGCATATATATTTTAAAAGTAAGATTTAGGATGTTAAGGGTGGAAACAACGTTGTTCCAAAAATGTTGGTGCTTCAACGACATACCTGAACAGTAGGTGTGGTAGCTTCTCCCAGTACCTGAACAGTGGGCGGTGTAGCTTCACCCACTAAGTAGTAGGCACGGTTGGTAGAAGAGTGGGCAGGGCCCATGAGCAGTGGCAGGGGCCAATGTCAGAGAGGCCGTTCACTGTGTGGGCGGGGCTAGTGGCCGAGCGGGCGTGGCTACGTATAAGCAGGCGGGGCTGAAAGAGGGAGTGGGTGCTAGCTAGGTCACCACGTGTCCCGATTGAACCTCCCAGAAATCCGGTCCCTTTAAACCCGAGCCGGGCGGTCAGAAAGCGAGTCAGTAAATCGACGGGTTTTGCTCACGGGCGTATCGGCGTCACGCGCTGCTCACCTGTCGACCTTCTCATTCTGCGAGTGCGGGGCGTCGTCTGCGCCGCCAATGGGCAGCAGTACGATTCCCTTGCCGACCACCCTCTCCAGGTCTGCCACGATCGGGATGGTGGCACCCTCGCGGATCAGGTCGGGTTCACGCCCGTGCACTTGCGTTCCGGAACAACAAATAAAAAAAATATTCAACGCATTTTTTTAATTAATCAACAAGGAGTCTTGCGCACAAAACCACCCAAGCCAGTTCTCACTGAAGTGTCCGTTCGGTTCCTGTCGGTCGTCTGTTATCGTTTTGAGATGTAGTCAAAATGTGGGCAGTGACCACTCGTACTGTATTACTTCTCATAGACGAGTCACAGGTATGTGCCTGATCTCGTCAGATCTCGGAAGCCAAGTTCAGCATGATTGAGTTTGGACGGTGCTTGGCTGGGCAATTACTATGCATAAAGCAGGTGCTTTAGACTGTTGCAGACATAAATTGTCAGAAAAGGGCAGTGCAGAAAAGTCCATGTTGTAAGGTACTCTGTCCCAACGCCTAAGCTTCCTGCCTTCACCCACCCACACTGACCGGCACGGTGATGTACGGTCAACTAACACCCACGATCCGGACAGCGTGGATGCCGTGGTGGCGAGATGTTAACTCCCTTGCCTTGTATAGAGGAGGTCGTGGGTTCGACCCCAATCCTGACACCTGTATTTTTGGAGTTTGCATGTTTTCCCCGTGGTCGTGTAGAATTTTCTTTGGGACCTCCGGTCTTTCCCTCCACATTTATAATCGACATCCATTTAGAGTATTTACCTGCTATACATTTCCACGTGATAAGACATTTTGTTGAGCTATCATTTGTGGCCAGGTCGCTTCTGAAAAAGAGCTATATATAGCTCAGTGGGCCTTACCATGTAAAATAAAAAAAATAGTTTATAGCAGGGGAGGTCCTCATCCAGCAGTGGATTGACAAAAGGGCAACAGTTTGTACTGTGGGAGCCGGTGGCACCCACCTGCTTGAAAGGCCCTGCGGCCAGCCGTGTAGAGTGGGTCGGTGACGTTGGCCACCCAGGGCTTGGCCTTAACCTCGGCCCACACCCGCAGCTTGTTGGGGCTTTTGCGCCGGGCGAAAACGGCCTCCAGATGGCGCCGCACCTGTCCACAGGTGCGGATAAGCAGCGGGGAGCGCAAATGTAAGCAGAGTTTCCAGAAGCTCCATTCCTCGTGACCCACCACCAGTGACAGACTGGGACAAAAGAAATCGGCCCAGGCATTTGTAAACGCACGGGGCCCCAAATTGCCGTAACGATCTTAATAGCCCATTTGGGCTGGGTTCAAAAACCACAAATAGGCCCCGTGGGGAAGAATCTTTGGAGCTGCCGAACATACGGGGACTTAATGCTGACTGAGAGCAAAAATAAACAATGAAGTGTACACATTACAGGTAATAAATTATAATAAAATAAAATTTTACTCTGATCACATTTTCCATTGACACACACAGGCCGGCCCACCAGCCCTCGGAATGGACCGGCCCACCGGGCGTTTGCCCAGACTGCTGCCCTATGGCCCAGTCCGTGCCTGTTCACCACAGTGCCGTCATTCATAAGTTTACCGCTTCAACAACAATATTGGTAGGCTTCACCACGCCGGTGGGCGTAGGTTGAGGTTTTTTCCCGGTTCAACCTAGCTTTCACCTCGTTCTCAACCCACAATGCTTACGAAAAGCAGGCGGTGCCAACGTCGGAAGGAGCGAGGAGGTCGAGGAGCCTGTTCACTTTGTGTGAGCAGGGATAGTAGCTGGGTGGGGCCGTGGATATTTTAAGTCGACAGGGCTGATAGATTTTATTTTTATTTTACCAGGTAAAGTCCATTGAGCTATTTAGCTCTTTTTCAGAAGCGACCTGGCCACAAATGATACCCTACGAAGTAGCTTATCATGTGGAAATATATAGCATCCAAATACTCTAAATGCACGTTTCTAAATGTGGACGGAAAAACCGGAGGACCCGGAGAAAAATCCACGTGACCATGGGGAGTGAGAGACGTGCAAACTCCAAATATACAGCAGGCATCGTTAGGGATCGGGACCGAACCCACGATAGAGGAGGGATGGGCTGCCAGCTCCCCCACGTGTTCAGCTTGAGCCTCCTAGAAACGTTGCAGCTCGAGGAAAAAAAGAGACGGAGCAAGGCAGGCCAGCCGCTCCCCGTCCCCCCATCCCCGCCGCCACAACGCAAATGACTCGCCTGGTCCTCCACCACGTCTGGGTCCATGTTGGGCACGATGCGGATGGAGAACTTGCCGAGCACACGACGGGGAATGACGGTCTTCACGCCGGGGTCGGCGAATGCCCCCTCGATCCCGTGCAGCGAGAGAGCCGGGTAGCGCCAGCGGTGCATCAGGATTTTGTCCTGCCCGATGAAAATAAATGGAGGATCAGCAGTTTTATTTATTTATTTAGCGAACAATACTTTTTTTTGGGCACGCGACTGTCATACGGTTAGAGCACCGGATATGCAAGAAAATTATGAAATGTACGCGTTTGTTTGTCGGTGTTATATATTGTGAGTGGACGTCGGCCCCCATAGCCACAGAGCCATGTGACAGCCTCCTCCTCCGGCACGTGCAGGGCAACAACACGAGCAGTGGTGGCTCGTTATTAGCAGGCCCGACGAGTGAACAGTGGAAAGGAAAACAACTTTTTTAATCACAGAATGCATACATGCTCCCCTCTCCCCCTCCCTTCCCCTACTCTCTTACCCTCCCACCACCCTCCCACCCCTGCAGCTTCGGTCCCCGACAAATACATTTACCCGCAGATCGTCGCTGGGAGTAAGAGAACTGGCAGCTACCCTATAATTATCAGACCGGTAATTATTCAAGCAATCGGATAACAGTAAAATAATGGGATGGCATCAACGTTGGAGAGGCCTTCATCCGAGTAGTGGGATAGACCAGCGATGAAGTAGATTATGATGACTGTGACGATGATGATGATGATGATGACAATAATCGGCACGGTAAGGTAATTAAGGGGTAGGGTCCCGCCGGGCCTTGCCTTGGTGGGGTAGAGCAAGGCTGGTGCCTCAATCTCCTTGCGAAATTCCTCGGGGTCAAAGTGGATTTTCTCGTAGATCTCCTCCTCTTCCCTCGTGAGCGGCGCCACCGAGTCGTACAGCCCCGGCACCGCAATGTTCCCAGCGCCGCTCTCGAGGCTGCCTGCAGACGGCATTGGCAGGTCGATCAGAAGAGAGGAGAACCCTGACAAAACCCGTCGGTCAGTGAGTGGCTGGGTGGGTGACTGGGTCAGTGGCAGTGGCATCGAGTGGTTGGCATGGGCCCTCTGGTCCGTGAGCCCCCCCCCCCACCCGGTGCAGTTGCACTGCCAGCTCACTTGATAGCTACATCACTGAGGGCCCTAAAGATGTTCCTTATAATTACCGACCTATCTCAATTTTGTCCCCATTGATGATTTTTTTTTTATTATTGAACTACCAAATTAGCAGTTTCCTGTCCACCAACAATCTACTACATCTAAAACAATCTGGGTTCCGAAAAAAATACAGCACCACATCTGCTGCATTAGACTCTCTGAATCAAATTTACAGTAGCCTTGATAATAAGCAGTACTGTGCCTGTCTTTTTCTTGACCTGTCCAAAGCTTTTGATACAGTAGACCACAACACCCTGCTTGGTAAACTAACTTGCCTCGGTTTTTCCAAAAACACAGGAAAATGGTAACTGTATTCACAGATGGTTGGAGGTCAAACAGTGTTAAGATAACAAAAGGGGTTCCACAGGGTTCCATACTCGGCCCCCTCTTGTTCTCTCTTTATGTCAATGACTTGGGCACTGACCTGGATCATTCCAGGGTAAATATTTTTGCAGATGACACGATACTGATTACTGCTGGCCGCTCTCCGGATGACGTGATTGCTAAGCTCCAGGGTGATTTCAACAAACTACAACATCAGCTAGTTGCTCTTAAACTAGTCCTAAATACCTCCAAAACCAAGGTGCTATGATTCTCACCGGGACTAAAGCAGGAAGTTATTTTTCCCCAATTAGATTCCTTAAATAATGATCAAATAGAGCAAGTCAAGATCTATAAGTATATTGGGGTCATCCTGGATTCAATTTGAATTTTGAAGATCACATTGATTATATTGGTAAAAAGACAAAAATAAAAATTGGTTTTCTGTATCGACACAAGCACTGCTTCCCCCCTATGTTCCGTTTGGAATTGATAAAAGCTACCATACTGCCTCTACTTAATTACTGTGATATCGTGTATAAATCAGCCCCAAGTACTGTACTGAAGAAGCTTGATTCCATCTATCACTCGGCCTTAAGATTTGCATTGAACTGCCAATATAGGACTCACCACTGTCATCTCTACATTGGGTCAAACTTAACATCTCTTAATGTTCGACGGCTTGTACACCAGATCTTATTTATTCACGATGTACTTACAAAAAAATCCGCAGACTACCTACTGTATCTCCTCTCTGTTTCAAAGAACAAATTTGACCTCAGGTCATCGCTCCTCTACCAGCTTCACATTCCCTATTGCCGTACAAAAACCGGAGGAAGGGCCTTTGCTATTGATGCCCCCAGGGTCTGGAATGCTATTGCCAATAAACTGCAACTGGAATCACTACCTATGAGATCTTCACTCAAAACTGCTCTAGAGGAGTTGTACAGCCCTCTTTGCCACTGCTATTCAGTGGCCTAAAATAAAATAAAATGTTTCGCTCCGGATGACCGCTGCAAAGTATTATCTGTATTTTGATTTAGTGTGCTGATCTTAAAGGTGCATTGAAAAATGTGATACTCCGACTGATGCTCCTGTTGTTTGTGGAGTGACTCATGCAGCCAGCTGTGGCTCTAGGGTTTGGTGTTACATGTTCTTTATGTAGTTTATTGTTAAAAATTCGGTCACAGTTCCTATGATCACTGTTACATTGCATTTATGGCTTTATTTTGGTGAGTTCTAAAAGTTTTTTGGTTTGGCCATGTTTTTGTTCAGTGTAGTACGGAGTTAGACTGATGGCCTTAATCTAAGTTTTCTTGTTGTTGTTGTTTGACTTGCATCCCACTGGGATTTTTGCACACAGCGTTGGTGTACGGTGCTATTTCAGGCATATTTTGATGTTTTTTCCTGGATTTTCTGTTTGCACAGTCACACAAAGTCACTTTAAGATGATTTCTTGTTCATGTTTTTGTTTTTTTTTGTTGCGGTTGCACCCGATTCAAGAGCCGAATGGCTCACAGGGCTATACCAAATAAATGGAACTATGAAATAACCATGAACTGGTGAGTGGGTGAGTGAGTGATTAGGTCAGTGAGTGTGTGCGTGGGCCTTCAACAGGTGCTCGCAAACAGCACTTGCCCCAACTGTCTGTTAAGGCTATATGGGGGGTATTTGTCTTTGAGTAGTGAGTGATTGAAGCATGGCTGGTTGAGTGAGTGGGAGTTATGAGTGAGAGTGAAGGTTTGAAGCTGAGTGAGTGACTGGGTGTTGTGGGTGGGTAGATAGGTGTGTGAGTGATTACATGAGTGGTTAGGTGAGAATGTGGGTAAGTGAGGGCAAGAATGAGAGTTTGAATTATTGGGTGAATCTGGGTGGGTTGACGTATAAGTTGAGTTGTGAATGATTGAGTGAGTGGTTGCATGCCTGAGTGGCTTTGATGAGTGAGAGTGTGAGCGAGTGAGATCAGGAGTGAGGCCTTTTCAGCTGTTGAGCGAGTGCGGGCGGGTTTGATATACGCGAACGATTTGCGAGTGAATCGAGTGGTGGGATGAGTGATTGCGCTGGGGGTGGCGGGGCGGGGCAGCTACTCATTAAAGCGACGAGATCCCCCAGGGCCTCGTGGACCGAGCCTCCGTACGTCCCCGAGTGCAGGTCCTTGTTAGTCCCCGTCACCTGTGCGAGGGCCACAGTGGAGAAACCACGGGAAGATGTTCCGTGAGAGAAGGGAGCCGTGAGGAAGAGGAGGAGGAGGCTGACTTCTCACGGACGACCGAAGCCCGACGTTTCAACGCCTCAACGTCCGACTGGACGTCTGGGAAAAAGAGCTTTGTGGCTCGTCGGATTTCTCCAGGATAAGCGAATATTCTGATTGCGTGTTAATGTTGTTAATGTATGCAAAGTCCTTACTGAGAACCCTTATATAATATCGCTGTGCGGTCAACCCACTGCTGGATATGGGCCTCCTCATGCCGTGCGGGCCATTTAACTTTACTTCAGCACGCTGGTTAGTGCGGCTTGGTGAAGACAGGGAACATAGACAAGGAAGGTGAACAAACTAAACACAACAAATAACTGATTTTTGAGTGTTAAGTTTGTTGTCCTTCCCCACAACTCCGATTAGCACGGTTGGCTACGTACGGTGCGGAAAAAAATCAACACACATACATTGGCGCGTGTACAACAAAAAATCAGCTTCTGAATCTTCAGTCATCCTGGATGAAGAATACGATGAGCCATGAAGCTCTTTTTGTTCACAGATGTCCAATAGGGGCGAGTCAGCGAGCTACATCGACCAAAAAATAATACAATAAAGACTACAAGAGTAAGACAGAGAACAGTGAAGCAATTCACTCATTAAAGAAATGTAACATTTGTATAAATGAACGAATGGATTTTGCCACACTGCCCTCTACCGCCTACAACAAAGACAAAGATCCCCCCGCGTAGCCTTAACAGACTGTTGGGGCAAGTGCTGATAGCGAGCACCTATGAAGCCCAGAGCGGCACACAAGGGGGTGGGTGGCCAGCACCACGCCGGGCCACCTTTGTCTCCCCAGTAGCGATGTTTACATGCAACACCGGGTACTCATTTAAAGCTTAGTCGACCTAACGAAGGCCGAGAATCGTGGGTCCCCGGGATCGTAGAGCAGCGCGCTGACCGCTACACCGCAACACAGCACAGCCTCACAGACCCCGTGCATGGCGGTCACCCATCCCAGCACTATCCAGGCTCATCCCTGCTCAGCTTCGTGACATCTGTGCGAAGCTCGAGCTCATCGCGGGCGATTCGGCCGTAGGCGGCGACGACGTCTCCGTGGGGACCTCTAAGCACTTGCAGGCACACAGGAGGGGGTGGACTACTGGCACTATCATGCCATCGATGGGCACGAGGCAGCCGCTGCCCCCAGGGGGTCTACAATAATGACAGGCTCACTCGGCGCGTGTATGCTATTTTTTATCTTGCGGTTTTGTTTGGGGACATTCTTTCCCGCCCCCCCTCCACCCCTATCCCTCTGCTCCCCCCCATAAATATATGCCAAGTTCCTGAACGTCGCCCCTACGTTAGTAGGGCAGTGAGCCAAATCGCTCATCCCTTTCACCTATCCCATTGGCTAAATCGTCCGCACAACATCTGCACCCCTTCCCCCCGTTGCTCGTGCTTTGTACCGGGCTCTTATAAACAATAAAATTATAAAATATATATGCAGGTATAGAGGCGTTAACCACGCACTATTCGGTAACCTGCTTTGCCACCAGGTATCAAGGGGGCAGTGCAGCGTTACCTCGGGGTACATAACGGTTGGGGTCAGACGAGGTGAAGTGAATCCTAGCCACAGTTTAGGGAGAACCAATCAGCCAGTTCCACGTGGGAATGTGTGATTGGTTGTACCTGGCCACGAACGAGTATAAGAAGGGTGACCCAACAGAGCTCGGGGAGTTCTCTCCCTATACGAAGACCGAAGACTGGGCTGAAGACTAGCCAGGACCCTGGACCAGCCTTCCAGCCCTTTTGAGGGCTAAGGCTCGGCATACCCAGTGGTCAGGACCCACCGGGCCAGCGGTGGGTCAGATAGCCTCCCCTAGGTCCAAGCCGGAGGACTCTAGGCTAGGATAGCGGTAGACGTGTAAGTCCCGCCAAGTCCGGAGGCTGTACCTCCTTAGGTATCAAGGAGGTTAGCGGTAGACGTGTAAGTCCCGCCAAGCTAGGAGGTTAGCGGTAGACGTGCAAGTCCCGCCAAACTAGGAGGCTGTACCTCCCTAGGGTATCGGGTGAGGGGACCGAATATTCCTCTGTGTGTGTTAAGGATTGTGTAAGGAACAGTTACAATAAACAGAGTGTGCCTCCTAAGAAGTTTACTCGTCTTTACAACACTACAACTGGTGTCAGAAGTGGTTGAAAATGGAAACAAGAAGTTTGGCCCATGTGCGAAGCCAGAATGAAGATAACTCTGCCTCACCTGCGGGAACCGCCAGCTCCACTGAGAATGCTGCCGCATTGACGGCCGCCCAGCCACCGGCTCAGCAGCCGGTCGCTCCTCCTGCCATGGGGGACGGACTCCGGGCAGCACACAGCCGTCTCGCCCAACTTCTACAAGCCGCGGCCTCCATTCTCGACGAAATCAACTCGGAGGTCGCGGGCGGGCCGAATTAACCGCCGGCAGATGTTCCCGCCATCGGCCAAGGCGGACATTTTGATTTTCCCGCCGAGGAACCACGTGATCCCACCGGAAGCGGAAGCCAGGGGCATCCTGGGAACGCTGGAGGCCAATCACGACCTGCAGCGTCATCAGCGCGCGACGCTGTAAATTCAAGATACTCCGTGGACGCCGCATCATCACTGTACCAACAGGGTACAGTAGACGCACTTGGCCAAGCAATCACCAATCTCCGACTCGAGACGGTGCAAGCCGAGGAGGAGACAACGTCCGCCATCCAACAGCGCCTGCCCATCTTCCGGGAATTCGCGTCTGAAGGTGGCGACTGGGCAGAGTTCCAGCATCGCTTCCTGAGCCACCAAGAAATGGTGGGATGGTCGGACGCACAGGCGCTCTGAGTGCTACCGGCCACTCTGGACAACGACGCTCTCGCCTCGCTCCTCACCATCCCAAGGCAACACAGGGCAACTCTGCAATCGGCCCTCCGATGGATGTCCGACGTCCGCAGCCGATTCTACGACAGGCGACGCCGCCCTAAGGAGTCTCCGTTGGCGTTCCTGACCACCCTACTCGCGATGCCAAGAGCGGGTTACCCCCGCATGGACGACGAGGCCATCGACGCTATCATTCTCCAGAAGATGCTGGAGCTGGTGCGCGAGCTGCGCATCGTCATCCAAGCAGTGGACGACAACAGTATGTGCTCGCTACGAGCCGCTCGGAGCATCCACGCACATCTGCTGCTCCACACGGAATCGACCATCGCCGCCTCGGCTTCGACGTCGGAGCCTGCCAGCAGGGACGCCGAGTTCTCCCCCGACTGGGCTTTCATGGCTACCAGGTCAATGGGCCGGCGACCGTCCGACCACGCTGGTCGCCGCGACGACCAGCAGCAGGGACGGCCTCCTCCACGCGGCGACATAACGTGTTTCAACTGTGGCCGACGAGGCCACATCTCCTCCGACTGCCGTGCACCTCGACGACGCCCCTCCGGATCCCGAGGCCAGGACTACAGGGCGCACACGACATCGCGGCACAGTCAGGCAAGTCGCGACGCCTCTCACGCTCGGCCCCCATTCACACCATACACACCGCAACGCACTATAGGCAAGGCTCACGATTCGGCGTGTGATGGGGGGTGTTCCGGGGGTTCTTCACGGCCACTTGGACCTGGGCAGTGGTCTGAGTTGGCCCATAGGGTAGTCGCGGCGATGGCAGGTTCATCCGTGGTTGTTGGATCAATCGAGGGTGTGGAATTTCGTGTGTTGGTCGATACTGGTGTGTCCGCTACGATCATTTCTGATTTAATTTATAATATACTGCCCGTACGATGCCGCCCCTTGGAACGGGTTTCTATCCCATGTTTCGCCGCTCATGGAAGTTCTCTGGGCATTATTGGGCAAATTCGTGCGCAAATTTTTATTGGTGACATTAAATTGGCAAGGCCTATTTTGGTCTCTTCTTCCCTCACCGTGCCGTGTTTGTTAGGCACTGATTTTCTCGCGAAAATGCCTATTAAGATCCTTGTAGATCAAGGCTGCTATCCGTCGGGTCGACGGATAGCATTCTTGCCCACACCCTCACATCCGCGCATGGCAAATGCCTCGGAGCAGGCGTTCGTCGCGAGCATAGTCCGCATTCCGCCAGGGACACAAATGCTCGTGCCCTTGCGACTAAAAAAAACGCTAGCCCCGGATGCCTCGGCACATGGCATTTTGCTGGGGCCTTCAAACACAGCTGCTAAGGGGTTAGATTTGGTGGCTGCACAGACCCTCGTAGCAGCTGACAGGGAGCCGTTCTTGCAGGTTTTGAATGTCGGATTGTCCACAACCATCATTCCGCAAGGAACTGTGCTCGCTCACGCGACCCTGGTGCCGCTGGGGACCAGAGTCGCGGGACACGTGCGTGACACGCCGCAGGTCCCACCTCCTTCCAAATCGGATGAGAAATGGTTGGACGCGCTCTGCGGAGACACGGGTGATCTGTCTCGTTCGCAGCGAATTAAATTGCGCGCTCTTCTGCGAGAATTTTCCGATGTATTCAGTAAATCTAAATTTGATATTGGCTGCACCAAGCTACTGCGTCACCACATTGATACTGGTGACGCTGCCCCAATTCGACAAAACCCGTTTCGGCTTAGCCCGGCGGAGAAACAGCATGTTAAATCGGCTGTGGATGACATGCTGGAGGCCGATATCATTTCTCCCTCCACTAGTCCCTGGGGTGCTCCAATAGTGCTGGTAAAAAAGCACGATGGCAGTCTTCGTTTTTGCGTTGATTATCGGCGCCTAGATAAAATCTCGGTAGCTGACGCCTACCCTCTCCCTCGTATGGACGAGTCATTGGATGCCCTGGCAGGGGCGCACTATTTCTCCACTTTGGACCTTCTGTCGGGGTTTTGGCAACTCCCCCTCGACGAAGCTTCAAAACCTAAGACTGCTTTTCGGACACCACAGGGCCTTTTCTAGTTTAATAGATTGCCTATGGGTCTCCACTCGGCCCCAGCGATGTTCCAGAGGCTCATGGAGCTGGTCCTCGCTGGGCTCCAGTGGGACTCATGTCTAATTTATCTTGACGACGTCATCGTCTTTAGCCGCACGTTCGGCGAACACATCGAACAGTTGCGTACTGTCTTCTTGAAAATGCGGGCCGCTAACTTAAAATTCAAGCCGCAGAAGTGTCACCTTCTGCGTGAGTCAGTGCGTGATCTGGGCCACATAGTTAGCCGCTCGAGAATCTCTACCGACCCTGAAAAAAACAAATGTGTTCAACAATGGCCGACCCCTACATCTGCGGGCGATGTTCATAGTTTTATTGGTTTTGCGTCGTACTACCGCCGTTTTGTTGCTGGCTTCGCGACGATTGCCAAGCCGCTCCATGCCCTTACGTCAAAAGGGGTGGCGTTTCATTGGGGGGATGCAGAACAGGCCGCGTTCGACTCCTTGCGGAATGCACTCGTGACGGCACCATCCCTTGCATACCCCGATTTTTCCGTACCATTCGTGTTGGACACCGACGCTAGCAACACGGGGATTGGGGGTGTTCTGTCCCAAAAAGTTGATGGCATTGAAAGGGTCGTTGCCTATGGTAACACAGATACTGTGTTACCCGGCGTGAGCTGCTGGCCATTATTTTTTATTCAGCAATACAGGCCGTACCTGTATGGCCAGCATTTTACCGTGCGATCTAATCATTCGGCATTACAGTACGCTCTGCGGGTTGACCAACTATCTGGCCAGCTTTCTCGGTGGCTCGAAGTCCTTCAGGACTATGATTTCAACGTTACTTACCATAAGGGTGCATAGCACGCAAATGCTGATGCGTTGTCTCGCCTCCCGCCGGCTCAAAAATGTGCGTGCTTTTTGGGCTCGGGCCGTTGTAAGCCACCACTGCCTGCGCAGGTCGCGCCTCTCAAAACGGTGTCAGCCGCGCTTCCCGCCGCCTCAGCGCCGATGTCGGATCATGCAGATCCAATGGCCAGTGACGACTTGCTGGGGCTGACTTTGGCCGAATGGGGTCGGCACCAGAGCGACGACATGTCGTTACTGCGGTTGCGTCATCACGCGAATAATGCGGCTCCACGACAGGGGTGATTTAATTCATTCGTCATGAAGCACGGCTTGTTGATGCATTGGGATGCTGACTCGTGTCAACATAAAATCGTCGTGCCGTCCGCCTTGCGATGCAAAGCCATATGGGCAGCGCATGAGCGTTTATTACACCTGGGTGTCCATAAAACCATTGGGTTGTTGCGATTGCAATTTTTCTGGCCGGGCATGCTGCGCGATGTATCCGACATTCTGCTGGGGTGCATCCACTGCGCGCAATGTAAACCGCCGGCTAAACCGGCATGTCCACCCCTGCAACCCATTTTGGTGTCTCGTATAAACGAGTTGGTGGCTCTCGATATCTTGGGCCCTTTTCCTACTACGCCACAGGGTAATAAGTACCTTCTGGTTGGGGTGGAGTATTTTAAGCGGTGGCCTATGGCCTGGGCCCTCCCCAACCAGTCGGCAGCGGCCGTTGTGGACGCCTTTGTTCAGGGCTACCTCCTGGACAAGGGCGCACCAGAACGGCTGCTGACCGATCAGGGAAGAAATTTTTCAGGAGTCCTGCTGAATGAGGTTTGCCTCCTGTTGGGCACAAAGAAAGTGCGCACTTCGCCCTACCATCCCCAAACCGACGACATGGTGGAGCGCCTGCATAGAACTCTCACCGCTATGTTATGCCATCAGGTCGATGAATCCCACCTCGATTGGGACTTGCAGGTTCCGGGGCTCCTCGCCGCATACCGCATGGCACCTCACGCGGCGACGGGATTTTCCCCGTTCTTTTTAATGTACAGCAGGGATGCCTTTCTTCCCGCCGACATTTGGCTGGAAATCGAACAGCCACCGTGGAAATCCAAGCTCGTTGACCACTTGTGATTCAACCTCTGTAAGTTGGCTGAGGCACGGGAGGCTGCTATTGACAATTCGGCTTCCCGCCAACGAGCAAATTTGAGACTGCGTGACCCTCGAACGTCCACGCATCGGTGGGCACCGGGAGACAGGGCATGGCTTCACTGCCCCCAGGTGCCGGTATCCACATCGCAAAAACTCCTCAGGCCATGGCGGGGTCCGGTAGAGGTAGTGGAGGTCCTGCGTCCCCAATGTATTAAAATCAGCAGGGGACGGCGTCGCTGGTTCGTTCACCCATCTCGGTTGAAACCCTTCGTCACGCCGCGCGTCCCTCCACAACACACACAACACGGGGGCCGAATGTGCGACGCGTCCGATGGGCCAGATGTTGCCCCGTTGGTGCCTAACCCACAGCGCAGGCGTGTCATTCCTCCCGCAGATGACACGGGAGTGACAGCTCCGTGCAGGCCACGTTCGGCCTCGATGGACTATGGAGCGTCAGGTGTCCCCGTGGAGATGCCTAAAGACCCACCGGATGTTCTTGTTCATCCTCCTCCTCTTGTGCCACCGACGAAACCTACCATCCCCTACGATGGCCCCGCGAAACACACGCGCGCTAAATCTCGCCGGCTTTTATGATTCTCTCTTGCCTGTATATACGTTATGTTGTTAGGGGGGTATTTATATGGGTTTTTCTCTTGTTCTCGTTCTTGTTCTTGTTGTCCGTGAGGCACACTCACAGAGGTGTTAACCACGCACTATTCGGTAACCTGCATTGCCACCAGGTATCAAGGGGGCAGTGCAGCGTTACCTCGGGATACATAAAGGTTGGGGTCAGACGAGGTGCAGTGGATCATAGCCACAGTTTAGGGAGAACCAATTGGCCAGTTCCACGTGGGAATGTGTGATTGGTTGTACCTGGCCACGAACGAGTATAAGAAGGGTGACCCAACAGAGCTCGGGGAGTTCTCTCCCTACACGAAGACGGAAGACTGGGCTGAAGACTCGCCAGGACCCTGGACCAGCCTTCCAGCCCTTTTGAGGGCTAAGGCTCGGCATACCCAGTGGTCAGGACCCACCGGGCCAGCGGTGGGTCAGATAGCCTCCCCTAGGTCCAAGCCGGAGGACTCTAGGATAGCGGTAGACGTGCAAGTCCCGCCAAGCTAGAAGGTTAGCGGTAGACGTGCAAGTCCCGCCAAGCTAGGAGGCTGTACCTCCCTCGGGTATTGGGTGAGGGGACCGAATATCCCTCTGTGTGTGTTAAGGATTGTGTAAGGAACAGTTACAATAAATAGAGTGTGCCTCCTAAGAAGTTTACTCGTCTTTACAACACTACACAGGTACAAAACTTGCCGAGTGTCAGGCTGGCGACGTGACCGTTCGCCCGGGTGCTCTCACCTCCGCGAAGAAGTAGCAGTTCCCGCGGAGGCCGTAGGAGAGCGCGGGCACCCCGACGCTCAGCCACTCACTATCGGACACGCACATGTGCTCCACGTCGCGCAGGAAAGTGTGGCGGCGCCGCGCCAGCAGCTCCGCCAGCCCCATGGAGCCCACCTCCTCTAGGCTCTCAAACACCAGGCGCAGGTTCACGGGCAGCGGCTGGTAGTGGTGGCGGTCGTGGCGACGAGGAGGAGGAGCAGCAAGCAAGGGAGCGGGGAGCCACAGGAGCACGATGGAGTGAGCTCGGGTGAGACTACGAGTATTTTTGAAAACCATTTTTTCTTTTACCAGGAACAGTAAGAACAAACTGAGCTGTGTAGCTCTTTTGTTCTGGAGTGACCTGGCCACTCGGTGGGTTATCGCGTGTACATTTATAGCAGCCAAATACTCTTAAACGCACCTGCGATTAGCACGGTTGGCTACGTACGGTGCGAAAGAAGTTCAACGTACATCCGTACAATTCTAAATATGTAGGGAAAAACCGGAAGACCCGGAGAAAAATCTACGCGACCACGGGGAAAACATGCAAACTCCCAAATGAACAGCAGGTGCCAGGGTCGGGATCGAACCCACGGCCTCCTGCATACCAGGCGAGGTAGTCAACATTTCGCACCATGACGCTGGTGGTGCGGTGACACCAGCCGAGCGGTGGCACATTCGCCGCTTGTTGCGGGAGGGTTCGTGGTGTCAGCCCGGCAGCCGCCCCCCGATGTGAATGCCGCGGGGGTGTACCGAGCGTAAAGGTAACGCGTCGTCTGTTTCACAGTGAAAAATTATAAAGATCCCAGTGAGGGAGAATATTAAGTACATGTGTGTGTGCGTGCTGGCATCATGGTTCAAAACTTCCAACGTACACCAGCACTCGGTCACGTGGCTGTCCGATGATGATGATGATGACGAGGTTGCGTGTGCATCTGCATGTACGTATGTTTGCGCATATATATACACCATACGGTCGGTGCTGCTCTACGCCATTAACTCCGGTGATCCAAGTTCGAACCCTGGCCAGGACACAGATGCCCCTGTGTGTGCCAAGCAAAGGGAAGTCCCTCGGCTTGCATCCCATGTTGCAGCTTTAGGGTCGTTTAGAACTCATGATGGGGAGACATCAGCGTGGCCAGTGGGAGCCATCTCACCTGCCCGATGCTACGGAACGCCTCGATGCTGTTGAGCCAAGCGAGGACCGGCGCCTTGTTGTCAGACACCCCACGTCCATAGAGTTTACCTGCGGAAAGGCGGTTAGGCGCACCTTAGTTGCAGACTAAATACAGTGTAGTACCCCGGTTTACGTTGGGGATGCCTTCCTGAAACTGCGTAAATCATCGAAGCAATTTTACACAGTAGGCGGTGGAGTTTGAACAGTTTGAACAGTTTATTTAGAATTGCCCTGTGAGCTAAGAAGCTCTTGAATCGGGTTTCATCAACAAAACAGAACAACTGTAACATTAAAAACACAACTTTTGCAACAGGTCGCATTAAAAATATAAATACAATAAATACAGCAATGAAAAAAGTCAACAAAATATATATTACTTAATTATGATTTAAATATTTAACTAAACTAAACATTAAGATTAGAGAAACATATTGCAAAATAGTGCATCTAGAGTGAGGAATAAGATTCGATAAAATATTTGCAAAACGAGGACAAGAAACGCCTTTGGCAAAATAGTTTCCCTGTGTGAGAGGCAACGGATAACGAGAAAGGACGGGGCGATGCTGTCAGCGACGTGAGTGTGCGGGTTGAGGCGACGCAGATCGAGTGGTGGTGTCAGTAATGAAGTTACGACGTATCCGCTTAGGTCGCCGGGTCCGCAGCACGGCACGCCGACTTACTGTGCCGCTGCTCCACCCTGATCGTGAAATCAAATAGAAAATCGGTGCCGTCTCATCGCCGCCACCATCATCGTCATCATCCTCAATCTAATCTTAGATGAAGGCCTCTGTGAGCCATCACTCTTCCTCACATTCCTGCAATGCAATACCGAGGAGCTGCACGCGGGCCTGATTTCGTCACTCTGTCTCCGCGGTGGGTCACTTCTCGGGCGCGTTCCTCCTGCTTTGGGTGCCGTTCCATCGTTAGTCTCGACCAGTGTCCATCAAACCCTCCCGACTCCGTGTCCTGTCCCCTCTTAAACCCTGCGTATGTTCTCTAATCCACGTGCTCCTCTCTCTCTCTCGATGTAAATCGCCCCCAAGTGGGATCACATGTAAAAGCGATCCCGCGCCGACAGCACCGGCATCTCACCCGACAGCGTTATAGCCTGGCAGGACCCCTGCTGAAAAATAATGAGTCTTGAGACTCAGCGAGGCTTTGCCGGGTGTAAAAAAAAGGTCAACGTTTCTGATTCATACGTTACGGCGGGTAGTTTACCGATTGATGTCTTTTTGCCATCCTCGTGGTCAATACCAAATGTCTTCTTCCGCGCGAGGACTCTGGTGACCCCCCCCCCCCTCAACCGCGTCGTCCAATAGGAATCAGCGGCACTAAGTCTGGCACGTGTGTGCCGGTGCATGTCCACCGCATGCTCCTCCGCTCCGCTGGTAAAGCGAGACGTCCCCCCGCTGCCCACCGCCACCCCCACGCCTCAACGCAGTTCGCGCTTCGTGGTAATGTATTTATAACCGCCCTCAATAAATATAGCGCGAGCAGACGTGACGAAGGGCCAGGGTGAGGGTTGGCAAGGTTCTGGCTACCCACGCCCCACGGTGCCCACATTTCTCTCTCTAGCTCGGGGCCCCCCGGACCGCACGTGGGCTGGCGCCAAACTCCTGAGTGCAGCTTCCTTGTAAGGGGAGGTGGGGGGGGGTTGGGATTCGTTCGCGTGTTCGCCTCCCCCCCCCCACCACCTCCATAGGTGGGCAAAAGTTGCGGGCTCTGCCATCGCTCGCTCCACCCACTGGCGTCTGGGGGGAAAAAAACAAAAGCTTCGTAGCTCATCGGAATTCCTCCAGTATAAATAAATATTCTGATGTGGCGTTGCGCAGTACCACGCTCCATTGTTTTCATTGTGTTCATTCTTTATTTTTTTTTGCACCGACGTAGCCACCCGTACAAATCGGTAGGTGTGGGGAAGGACAACAAACTTAACACACAAAAAGCAGTTATTGTTGTGTGTTTAGTTTGTTGTCCTTCCTTGTCTATGTCCCCTGTCTTCACCAAGCCGCACTAACCAGCGAGCTGAAGTGTAATTAAATAACGCCCCATGGCCCGCAGAGCATGGAAAGGCCCTCATCTAGCAGTGGATTGACCGCAGAGAGACATTATATAGGGCTTCTCAGTAAGGATTTTGTATACATTACATGAGGCTGTTCCGCATAGATGCGCTCCCACGTTCCATTGTGTTTAACATATATCCTGGAGCTCTGGGGAGTTCCCCTCGTGAGGAAACGTTAGCCCACTATTCCACGATGACCAGGCGACTTTAAAAGAGGTTGGGTGGAGGCACCCACAATGTTAATCCCACCGCACGGCTAACTGTGGCGGTGTACCCATTCATACCGCCCGATGGACACAGGCAGAGGGGGGAGGTAATTGGAGAAACTAACACCATCGTTTCAACTACCACGGCGAGGGACGTCAATCAGACCGGCGGAACCTCTCGATTGCAATGTCCGGTGTGCTAACCATCACATCCTACAGGCATAAGCTGTGCCTGCCTTAGCGGGTGAAGTTGAACGCGTTTCTCTCAAGGTGGAGAATCTGTTCAAACTAAAAACAATGTTTTGGTATTTTGACAAGTAAAGGCCCACTTGAGCTATATACATGTAGCTCTTTTCTCAAAAGCCACCTGGCTATTGCAAATGATAGATCAACAAAGTGGTTTACCATGTGGAAATGTAAAGCAGTCAATACTATTGTAGTGGAGTAGGAAGGTGCGTAGTACAAACAGCGTGATTACATGATCACACAGACAGTACGGGTTATCTTGGGTCAGCCTGTAGCGAAGGCGAATACAGTGCAGGTTATGTTGGGGCAATTAAGCTGGGAGAGCCGTGGACGGCTGTGATTGGTTGGTGCTGTTGCCAGGGCTAGAGTGGCGCCTAAAGGTATGGAGGAGAAACAGGTGTACGGTCACGCGGAGTGCCCTTGGGACGCGGACTAATTAATTGGGCAGTAAGGAGAGCGGGGATAAATTGGGGGGTCGGCAATTGGAGCGGGGTTGTTGAAGTTGGAGAGCTCGGAGTGAACAGCGGGGGAAATTGAAGTCGGAGTCAACAGCGGGGAATTGAGAGCTTGGAGACAGAGTGATAGTGGAGCTGAAGAAGAGAATAGGCCGCAGAGGAGAGAGCGTAGCGATAGCGAAGCTGAAGACGAAGAACAGCCAGCAGTGGATTGAGCATAGTGACGGTGATAGCGGAGAACAGAGACGAAGCAGTTAGCAGTGGAGTGAGCATAGTGACAGTGATAGCGGTGAACAGAGACGAAGCAGTTAGCAGTGGAGTGAGCATAGTGACGGTGATAGCGGTGAACAGAGACGAAGTAGTTAGCAGTGGAGAGAACATAGCGACGGTGATAGCGGAGAGCGGAGACGAAGAAGTTAGCGGCGGAGTAAGCGAAGTAATCGTGAGGAGTGGAGAGACAAAGGTGGCGAGCGAGGCGAGTGAAGCACGGCGACCAGGATACCGTGGAATGTGGAGGACATGCTGAGAGTTGTAAATAAAGCGGTGTTCGAAGAAAGACAGAAGTTGTCCGAGTGAAATCGAACACTACACTATTAACGCGTGATGTTGATTCTAAACGTGGAGGGGCAAACCGGAAGAACCGGAGAAAAATCCACACGTCCACGGGGAGAACATTCAAACTCCAAATATAAAGGAGTTAGGGTCGGGATCGAACCCACGACCTCCTGTATGCCAGGCGTGATACTTAACATTTCGCCACCGTGGCGCCCCTTAAAGTATTTTAATGCTCTCGATAGCATTTTTTTTGTCTTTCTGCAATGATATTGTAACAACCGCTAATCGTATTTCTATTCTTAGGTCTTCTCATGCAGTAACGCTGGTCTTAACCTTGGCATCAAAGTCAACGGTACAATATGCAACGAAAGTGCCAGCGTGTGATGTAACCCGGACTTAATTGCAATTATTGACAAGATTGAAAACTGCGAGAAACCAGTTTCTGGGACAATGATTAAGCCTATGACTAAATCACCTGGAAGGTGCCCAATCCCATCAGATGTCAAAAGCTAAGAAGGCTTGAGCCTGGATAGCGCTTGGACGGGCGTCCACTGTGCAAGCAATCGCTACTGCAGGCTGCTGTGGAGCTACTTTGTCATCGGGGGACAGTTCAGAAAATTGCAGTGTTGTACTGTACTTCCATGCTCCCACGTGTATGCTCCCTGGCCTTCACCGACCTGCACTGGGCAGCGTGGTGACGGTTGGACAAATAACCGGCATGGCTTGGGGGGCTCTCACCCAACAATAGATTAGCAGGACGGCTCTGCATGTACACATATTTGAGAGTGAATGGCATTCTATAATTTAGACCCCTTTTTTAATCAAACAGAATGCTGGTCCGCCCGTTCCCGATGACGTGCGCGTACACCGTCGGAAACGGAAATAAAAAGCTCGCGACGCTGTGCGTGCGTACGTACGTCATTAGCACGTGTGTACGTCGTCGGAACAGGAAAGGGTTAATGAGACGCACCGTCCTTCTCGGTGAGCACGTAGGGGTCGCTGTCCCAGCCGTCGTCCTTGCGCGCCGGCTGCACGTCGAGGTGCCCGTACGCCATCACCGTCGGCTTGGCGGGGTCGTCTCCGAAGGTGCCGAGCACAACGGGCGGCAGCTGCACCACCTCCCCGTCCGGTGTCTGGGACCAGAAGGAGGAGCGTGGGTGGGGCGTGGGGTGGATCGTGATACACGGCGGCGGTGGTAGCGCCTGGTGTATACTGTAGGAGGTCGTGGGTTCGATCTTGACCCTGCCACTCTGTTTATTTGCAGTTTGCATGTTCTTCACGTGGTCGCGTGGATTTTTGCCAGGTTTTCCCCTCCACATTTGCAAACATGTGCTGAGAGTATTTGGCTGCTATACATTTCCACATTATACACCACTTCGTTGAGCTATCATTTGTGGCCAAGTCGCTTCTGAAAAAGAGCTATAGTATATAGTTCAGTGGGCCTTATCTACCGAAAGACCCAAAGAGTGTAAAAATATAAATAGTTTAATAAACATATTTTTACCCATAATGCTCCACAACAATGGATGAGTTTGTACACTAAATTTTATTTAGTTGAACGGGGGCCCCCAATCGTTGATATGGAATGTGCTTTGCCAATAACGTTTAGCAACCCAGAAGCAATTGTTTCATCAAGCCTCACTTTGCTGGTGAGACCCAGAAGTTTGAAACGGGTGTCAGAGTTTGATTTGCTTAAATAACTACAGATGGATAATATTCGTTTGAATAGCCTATAGGCCAAGCGACTAATCATCTGCTTTCTTTATACAGTGATAACCCGGTTTATGTCGTGGATGCGTTCCTGAAAGGTGCGACAACGAACATCTAAACGACGTCAATCAAAGCGGTTTCATGATATGTGGTGGAGGCGAAAGCTGGGACGACAGATACGAGACAGGACGGACGATGCTGTCAGCGACGATTGGCACGGCTGTCTACGTACGGTGCGAAAGCAGTTTAACATACGTACGTACGCAAGTGTGGCTTGACGGGACGGAAATCGGGTCGCGGTATTCATAAAGCGACGACGTACTTGCGAAACGACGTCAAAAGGCAGAAGACGTCAATCAGGCTATTACCGTATGTACGTTTTTGTAGCACCGCTGAAGTACAGTACAACATTCAGACCGGCCAATCTCATCCGCGAGAGCTGGCGCTGGTTACCGTGTGGTTACCGTGAGGTTGCCGTGTGGTTACCGTGAGGTTGCCGTGTGGTTACCGTGAGGTTGCCGTGTGGTTACCGTGTGTTTACCATGTGGTTACCGTGAAGTTGCCGTGTGGTTACCGTGTGGTTACCGTGAGGTTGCCGTGTGGTCACCGTGTGGTTACCGTGAAGTTGCCGTGTGGTTACCGTGAAGTTACCGTGTGGTTACCGTGAAGTTGCCGTGTGGTTGCCGTGTGGTTACCGTTAAGTTGCCGTGTGGTTACCGTGAGGTTGCCGTGTGGTTACCGTGAGGTTGCCGACCCCCGCCAGCTCAGCGACCCCTCCGAGGGACCGCACTCGCTCGGCCGCCATCTCCGCCATGCGGATCATGTCGTGTCGACGCTCTGCGAACGCCGACACGCTCTGCACCGCCACCCACTCGCGCAGCTCCTGCACAGGCATCAGGCGCGACAGGGGGGGGGATGCACTGTGTGAGCAGCTGTCACGTGACCAGGGCTGCCACCATTTACTGCGGTGTTCTTCGCTAATTTTCAAAGGTTGGGGGGGGGGTGGCACTTTTACCGAGAAGACATCGTCAGTTCGAGGGCCGCCGCGCATTTGAAACCATAACGGTTTGACAGCAGCACGACGATGACGGGGGGGTTTGACTATTTGTGTATAGTCGGTGGGCTGCAACTGAAGGCCACCAGGGGTCGCCAGTGGCCCGCGGGCCTTGCAATGAAGAACACTGCTTTGCAGGTTCTCCTTGGGGTCAGGGGTCAGGGTAGAGTAAGAGGTCAGGGGTGACGGTAGGGTTACCACCTTGGAAATAAACACAACGAAAACCAGGGCACAACAAAGGGCGTAAGGATATTTCACAGTACTGGAATGGGGAGGAACTGCAATTAAAAAAAATCAAGACAATGAGCTGGGTATTATTACACCAACTGACCAAAAAACTGTCACTGCTCGTATCTGGAGGAGGACTTAAAGATTAACAAAGAGAGTCATCTGAAAAGGAGGGCGATACTTGTAAAACCAGGACAGGTGGTAACCCTCAGCGACAGAGGACCTTGAGCAGTTGTCACATGACCCAGACCTACGATCCTTCATTAACAGGTATGGAGGATTTTTCCTTCCTGAGAGACAAATAGGATTTTAAAATACTTACGCTAAGCTACACACGCACGCACACACAACAACAACAACAACCGCCATTTGCCACTAAGTGCTGGTGACGTCACCACGACGCTTGTACCAGGCCATGTGCACCTTGAGGCCACGTGAAGTGTTGAAAGCCCGCTGGCAGGAGGTCACGGGGCAGACCCAAGTGCCACGGGTCGATTGACTAAGATGACTGAGATGACTGGCTGATGCACCACCTGTGCCCCCTACTGTGCCAACCTGCTGTGCTTTAGCCAGCCGGCACTCCGCTCGTTGTTGTGAGCGTCGCTCCTCCGCCCTCCGTTGTTGTTGGAGGGCGACTGCCTCCAACTGCCTAGTAGCATCCTTCACGAGCCTCCTCCACAGAGGCCGATCTTGACACCGCTGATACCAGTCATTGGCAAGTCCACTCAGCTCCACGTCCTCCTGTACCACATCACTCCATCTCTTCTCTAACCCGTGCCACGCCCATTTAGCCCCCTCGATCCGGCCGAACAAAAGCTGTTTCGGCATGCGGTGGCTGGGCATGCGGGCTACATGACCCAGCCAACGCAGCCTTGCCTGTCGGAGGAGCTCACTGATGGGACCTTGCCCAGATCTTTCAAAGATTTGTGAGCTCCTCACACAATCCAGCCTGGTTAAACCCAGGATGGATCGTAGGCAGGCTAGCCTAAATGTTTCTAACCGGCGAAGATGTTCCATTAGGGGGGTCCACGTTTCGCAAGCGTAGAGAAGGGAGGGAATGACCGTGACCGAGAAGACCTGAAGCTTAGTGTGGAGCGACAGACCAGGTAGCTTCCACACAGCGTTATGCAACTGATGAAAAGATATTGCCGCTCGACTGATTCGGAGTGAGACCTCTGCTGTTAAACTGGAGCCGGTCATAAGCACACTGCCCAGGTATGGGAAGCTCTCCACTCTTCCCACAACTGCCCCATCACCGATTGGGAGTTGTGGGGGGTGGAGTGTCCGATGGTACAAAATACCCAGGCAGGTGCTTAGTTTTGGTGGGGCTGATGGTAAGGCCCCATCTCTTAGTGGCATGCTCCAGTCTCAGCAGCAGCGTCTACAACTACTCCTCTGAATGAGCAGCTATTACCAAATCATCGGCATACATAACGTGGTTGAGCAATAGGGAGCCATCCCTTGACCGCACCCGGGCATCGATCAGCCTCCCATTATATCTGTACCAAATGGAGATTCCCCCGGTACAGCTATTGAAGGCTCCACGAACTACGTGGTCAAAATAGATGTTAAATAATGTGGGAGCCAGAGGACATCCCTGTCGCACCCCAAGGTGTACAGGGAATGGTTCTGACTCCCGGCCACGTAGTTTTACCCGGGCCCGCTCACCATCATGAAGGTCCTTAATGATCGTGAGCAGAGGGTCAGGGACTCCAAAAGCACGAAGAACAACCCAGAGCCCAGGCCTACTGATGGTATCATAGGCCTTGACCAAGTCAATAAAGCAGAGATGTAGGTCTTGTTGAAATTCCCTACACCTCTGCTGTAGCAGACGGACAGAAAATATGGCATCTGTGCAGGACCACCCTTTTCTGAAACCGCATTGGGGCTCCGCAAGCCTCTCCTCAGCATGCCTGGCAAGGCGATGTTGAATAATCCTTGCCAGGACCTTTCCCGGCACACTGAGGAGTGAGATGCCCCTGTAGTTGTTACAGTTTGTGCAGTCCCCCTTCTTAAAGAGGGGGACCACCAGGGCATCCTTCCAATCCTGCGGAACCCGTCCATTTGTCCAGACTGTTGTTATGATGTCATATAGGGCAGTCTGTGCACAAACGCCACCCTCCCTCAGCATTTCGCTTGGGAGATCATCTCTACCCGGTGCCTTTCCTGGTCTCAGACTCCGGATCGCCTTCAGTACTTCCTCAACAGATGGCACCTCAGCCAACCACTCACAGGGGGTGACTTCTTCCAATATTTGAGGCACTGCAGCCTCAGCAGGGTCATCCCCACTTTGTGCCACGATGTTTTCCTGGCTGAGGGATTTCCCCTCCCTCAGGACCTCACAGAAATGCTCAGCAAATCTGCACACACACGCACACACAAGCACACACATCAGTCACCTTCGTTACTGTAAAGAGACCCTTGCAGTTAGCGGCAGATTTGATTGAGCTCACAAAAATTAGAAGTAGAGCATTAATAAGTCGAAAGATTCCCCTCTTGTGTCCGATTAGTGTGGCCAAGATGCTTGCAGCGACGACGGATAAATATCGTTTGGAAGTGATGGGCCTCGTGTGACCATGCGTCTTGTGAAATGAAGCCATGGGCCATACCACCGTCTGTGGGCCGTAAGCCTTCCCCATTCATGCTTTATAGTATTAAAGGAGACAAATTTTACGGCTGTGCCTCCGGATCGAGAGCAGCCAGTTGGAGGTGGTTCGGGCACCTGGTAAAGGATGCCCCCCAGTAGACTGCCCCTGGAACTCTACCGGGCAGCAGCAACGTCCCAATGGGCGAAGACCCCGGGGCCGGCCCTCGGACACGCTGCTGGCGGTGGGACTGTGTTGCTCGGCTGGCCTGGGAACGCCTGGGAATTCTCCAGGAAGAGCTAGAGTCTGTGTATAGTAGTGTAGTGTATAGTGTAATGTATAGCAGTGTAGTGCTGGAGTCTGTCGCCAGAGAAAGGGAGGTCTGGACCGCCACTACTCAACACACTGCCGTCGCTACCCTTACCAGGACCAGCGGACTGAGAAACGAACGAATGAACGGATATATTTTACCCCTGATTGATATTTTAACCACTCCTGAATTGCGCAACTCAAAGTTCAGGTTACTCATTGTTTTACTGCTTTGCAAAGAGTAGCTAAAAGTAGCTGATAAGATTTATAAATGCTGAGTGGGGGAAAGCATGTCCTTTTTTTTAACCTTGACTTGGCAGCAAACACACGTGATTGTGGGGGGTGGCAACATTACATTGTTTTATTTTAAGTACCTTTGCAGCTCATGAAATATTAACTTGAGATTAGGAAATAACGACGAAATATAAACAATACAGACAAACCTAATGCTTATAGACGATCACAGCCGATACGCAAACACAGGTCCCATAAATGATGAGGATACATATGACCCATAGACTAACATATGACTTTAGATTCAAATAGCACCCACACCTCCGGTTAGCACGGTTGGCTACGTACGGTGCAAAAAGAAGTTCAACATGCATACGTACAAATTAAAATAGAAAAATAGACTAATATAGGACCCATAGACCATCGATGTACATAGGGCCCATAGACCTGAATAGCATTCCATAGACCAATATAGGACGTAGAGACCTACTTGGTGCCTATAGACCCACATAGCATCTGTAGAATTACATAGTGTCCATAGACTAATATGGTACATTGGACCCATAAATTATCATGGCTCAATGTTAACATAGCACCTCTCAATTAAAATAGGACCCATAGACTAATATAGCAGCACCCATAGACCTGGGACTTACATAGGGCCCATATACTTGAATAACCTCCCGGAGACCAACGTAGCACACGGACTTACAAAGTGTCCGTGGGCTTTACACTGCATTCAATATTCTATACGGATGACCCAATGTACTGTCGGCTGGGCTGAGAGCCAACAGCAGACTTTTGTCCTGGAGGTCTCCTCTTCACGCAGCCCGTTGCCACTGCGCGCCTCTCACCTGCACGTACTGCTCTTGCGTGGCATCGACGTGCTTGAAGAGCTTAGCCATGTACGACTCGGAGGAGCTGGCTCGGAGCGGCAGGGCCATAACGGCGATCAGCAGACAGATGCCGAGGCGAATCTGCCACTGCAGAGCGGAATAAACGGGTTCAGGAAAATATCGTCACGCATAAGCATTGTCCTCCTCTCAAGCATTTCATTAGCAGTAACAGAATCTTTCAGAGCAACATGTGTTTTTGTAAATATTAGTGATGTCATTTTAGCCTGGTTTGTGTCTCCAAATTTTGAGCAACTGTTTGGCCACTTTAGCCAATTTTTTTTATCGGGTAAGTGAACACCACTTTATGCTAAAGTTAGATTCATATTGGATCATGTTTTACGAGCATTAATGTGCACAGACACCCAACCCCGCTACCCCCCCCCTCCTCTCCCCGTTTCGGATTAATGGACAGACATAGATAATGCACGAACACTTTCAAAGTCATTTGGGAAGAAGCATTTACAAATGCAGACGGGATCGTTAACATGGCAGGTCAGGTTGAGATTGCCTCGCCTCGTGTGACTGGCTGGCTGTGTGAACTATCGATGCAAGCGATGGATGCATCGATTCATCGATGGCCTTTGCTGCCCGAGCTCACAATACGTGCATGGGTTCATGTTTTGTAAGAATCTATTGGACTCCTTCAGCCAACTCACGAGCCACCACTACATCTGATGGACGTCATCCTCGAAACCCGAGGGACTGCCGACTTCGACGATCGTATGTCATGGGTTTCGTGCATTTCCCACCAGCCACTAGATGCCGCTAGATTCACCGCTAAATGTAAATAGTTATTTCTTAATCTGATTGAAACCATAGCTTGTCAACAGTGAGGATTAGGTGGGGGGGGGGGGATTGTAAGATCCCTTATTATAGTCCATCAGCCTATGAGCCATCCAGGCAATGATTTTCAACGGCACTTGCTCCATCAAAGAAGCACTGGACCGGTTTCCACTACCCCAGTACTCATCAGCAGCATGTAGCCTGCTAAATGAATTGCGGCTGGCTTTCCTGATGTTTAGGCAATAGCTCTACATGGACATGGCGGGGCCCATTCAGTACAGTAGAACATTGTAGAACGTTTTATTATGAGTCACTGCGGTGGATTTGTGGGTAACAAATTGGCATAAAAAGGCAATTGCCTGACCGTTTTTTATTTCTCCAACAATTTTAAAGTCCTCAAACGACCAGCGGTAGCTTAGTGCGGCTTACATTCACGTAAATGTATTTTGGTTACTGTAAGACGCGAACCTTTTACGAATGTATTCATGACCTACTGTACAATGTGCTAGCTCGCGGCTGACAGTGAGTAACATCGGGAGGGCAATGTGCTGCAATATTCAATCCCCGTGCTCTTAAGCAGCACTAAACATGGGGTTCACGGGAAAGGTGTGGAGCCCCCTGAGTGTTTAGAAAAAAAACAGCAAAGAGACCTTCTCATATTACCCCTCCTTCATGGATAAACATTTAGTTGTAAACAGCTCGTATTTCGTTTACCAAGAAATGTAAGTATCGCTGCCAGAACGGCACCTAAATGCTCAGTCACAGTGCATGCACCCTGTGCCAAGGTTTCTGTAAATGTTAGGCCCTGGCCAGTGGATGTGGTTAATTTTCCTCATTAAGAACGATCTCCGTTTGAAAGTAAATTATTTTTTATCACTGCGTACGTCCATCAACCGCCTGGCTTTAAAAATAAGAACAGCCCGCTGTAGTGAGCGTCGCTGGCTGTGTGAACTCGCATTCACACGCAGGATACATTGCACATTTCTGAACACTAAGGATGTACATTTTAAAGTATTTTTAGAACCGCCTACAGTACTCACTACTAAGACTAGCTTCCCATCCCAGCTCTTCGTGAAATAACGTATACACTGGCAGAGTCACTGGGAGGAAGGGCACGTGGCCCCCCAATGATCCGATCGAAATCCCTAATTTCGATCGGATCATTGGGGTTTATTAGTAATAAATCGGAATGTTGCGACCCCTACTGCCACTGTGTAGCATATTATCACGTGCCAGGGTCTCTATGAGACGAAAGGACAATAGTCTGAGTCCATAATTGGCAATAGGTAACGGCAAAGCGGTTACAAGTGACTCACAGAATTGTGCGCAGTTGCGTCTACAGCAGGACACGACTTCCCTGAAGGCATCAACACCTTCAGCGAGCGTGATGCCGATCACACAACGCGGTTCGAATTCCACCCTCGATCGATGGCTGCGCCATCGCCGCACACACACGCGTCGAATAAAAAGCAAGAGACAAGTCCTTTACTTACTAACAACTAACATTTTTCATTGCTGGAGGGGTTGCCCCCCCCCACCCCCCTACCTAAAAATCCTTGCTCCGCCATGGACCGTATGTGATCATTCGTGATCATTAATCACTGCGGGTGACAATGTACAGGGAGGTGCAGACTAAAGTAAGTTTGGCGAGTTGTGGCTCCGTAACCCGCTTAGCCTCTTGTTGCCCAGATACCCTCCTTGAAGGCGGTAACCGAGAAAGAAATATTTAGCACACGAACCGACGAGGGTGAACACCCGCCCAACGCAAGAGGAACCCATCGCTCGACACGACCTCATTCTGGGGTCATGACTCGACCGTCTTGCGGGGGAGGGGGCGATGAAGAAGCCCAAAGCTCTTTAAAGCGAAGCCTCAAAAGTGAAGAACGGGCAAGGCGGCGAGACGCGCGTCAGTCGGTGGATTTTGTGCAGAGTTGCCTCTCTGTCGCTCTATCGCCAAAAAAAAAACAATCACGGGCGCAAATGAATGAATCGGACCGGCCCGCTGTAATGACATTTGTTTTTTTTAAAGAAAACGACCACTGGAAAATTGTTGCCCTTTTTAAAACCTCGGCTTCCATTAAAGGTACCTTCTGCGTGGTCGGTTCCCCGTCCATCGCGGCAGACGATCCGGCGTCTCTTCTCCGTGGGTTCAGCGGGCGCATTGACTCTCGGCGGTACTGTGAATCTGCCGGCCCCGTTCGGGCGCGTAAACAGATATTCGTCGGGGCTCTGTGGTCATTGCCAGATGTGTCCTTGATCCGCCCACTCTTTCCTCCACTACTTGCCTTCGGCTTCCACACCACCCCTAAGCGCCAAATACAACCCCCGTTTCTCCACCCCCCTCTCCTTCCCTATCCCTTGTATCCCACCCACTAGCCACCCACTGGAATTCCATGGTGTAAAGTGTAAGACACGGATCACGTCCTCGTCGCGGAGCTGAGCCAGTGCCGACACGAGTTACAGTGAGGGAAAAAAAAGTATTTGATCCCCAGCTGATTTTGTACGTTTGCCCACTGACAAAGAATTGATCAGTCTATCATTTTAATAGTAGGTTTATTTGAACAGTGAGAGGCAGAATAACAAAATAAAAATACAGAAAAACGCATGTCAAAAATGTTATAAATTGATTTGCATTTTAATGAGGGAAATAAGTATTTGACCCCTCTGCAAAACATGACTTAATACTTGGTGGCAAAACCCTTGTTGGCAATCACAGAGGTCAGACGTTTCTTGTAGTTGGCCACCAGGTTTGCACACATCTCAGAAGGGATTTTGTCCCACTCCTCTTTGCAGATATTCTCCAGGTCATAAAGGTTTCGAGGCTGACGTTGGGCAACTCGAACCTTCAGCTCCCTCCACAGATTTTCTATGGGATTAAGGACTGGAGACTGGCTAGGCCACTCCAGGACCTAAATGTGCTTCTTCTTGAGCCACTCCTTTGTTGCCTTGGCCGTGTGTTTTGGGTCATTGTCATGCTGGAATACCCATCCACGACCCATTTTCAATGCCCTGGCTGAGGGAAGGAGGTTCTCACCCAAGATTTACGGTACATGGCCTCGTCCATCGTCCCTTTGATGTACAGAAGTTGTCCTGTTCCCTTAGCAGAAAAACACCCCCAAAGCATAATGTTTCCATCTCCATGTTTGACGGTGGGGATGGTGTTCTTGGGGTCATAGGCAGCATTCCTCCTCCTCCAAACACGGCGAGTTGAGTAGATGCCAAGGAGCTTCATTTTGGTCTCATCTGACTACAACACTTTCACCCAGTTGTCCTCTGAATCATTCAGATGTTCATTGGCAAACTTCAGACGGGCATGTATATGTGCTTTCTTGAGCAGGGGAACCTTGCGGGCGCTGCAGGATTTCAGTCCTTCACGGCGTAGTGTGTTACCAATTGTTTTATTGGTGACTATGATCCCAGCTGCATTGAGATCATTGACAAGATCCTCCCGTGTAGTTCTGGGCTTATTCCTCACCGTTCTCATGATCATTGCAACTCCACGAGGTGAGATCTTGCATGGAGCCCCAGGCCGAGGGAGATTGACAGTTCTTTTGTGTGTCTTCCATTTGCGAATAATCGCGCTAACTGTTGTCACCTTCTCACCAAGCTGCTTGGCAATGGTCTTGTAGACCCATTCCAGCCTTGTGTAGGTCTACAATCTTGTCCCTGACATCCTTGGAGAGCTCTTTGGTCTTGGCCATGGTGGAGAGTTTTGAATCTGATTGATTGATTGCTTCTGTGGACAGGTGTCTTTTATACAGGTAACAAGCTGAGATTAGGAGCACTCCCTTTAAGAGTGTGCTCCTAATCTCAGCTCCTTATATATATAAAAGACACCTGGGAGCCAGAAATCTTTCTGATTGAGAGGGGGTCAAATTGTTATTTCCCTCATTAAAATGCAAATCAATTTACAACATCTTTGACATGCGTTTTTCTGGATTTTGTTGTTGTTATTCTGTCTCTCACTGTTCAAATAAACCTACCATTAAAATTTTGGACTGATAATTTCTTTGTCAGTGGGCAAACGTACAAAATCAGCAGGGGATCAAATACTTTTTTCCCTCACTGTATATAATACACAGATTAACACGCTATTTGTATTTCATTATTTCCTGAGCATAAAACACATTTGTTCCCAGGGTTTAGAGTATTGAAGAACAGGGAGGAGATGGGTAGTTAATGATTGTGGAGGCTCTGGTTACAGATTGCCGTTCTGTGTTTCAACCACCACACTGCTGGTCAACTTTTTTTTCTACTTCTTCACTCGAACTTACTCCACTTTAAGAATTCAATCCAATCGTCTCTTTCCCAGATTCTTCAAGAGATGCATGAACTCTTATATCTAATAATACACCTTCCATGGTGCTGTTTGTAAATTGACACTTGTTGCTTTGGGGGCATTTGAGCCCTTGCTCAACAACCGATAAAAGAATGCATTTGCCTTTGAATAAAAACAAACTACGTCTTAAAATGAAAGCCACCAGTTGTGATTATATTTTTAAATTCCAAATGCTTTGAGAACTTGTGCAATTGTATATATATATTGTACAGTCCTGCATGAAGCTCCGATAGGGACTCTTTTCAATCTAAAAGCAGGGGTATGGCTGGGTTTGCTGAGACTTGGGTGAGATTTTGTGTACGACAGGTTCCGTGTGCAAAATGTGGAGCTATTGGGCTGTTGCCGTCACAACTACCCAACTCTACTCTCGCTACCTCCCCGCTACGTACAACCGCCGGGGAACGGTGGCACAGTGGTTCGCACATTGCACTGGGAACTCGGCAACCTTGCAGATGCCCTTCTGCGGCCGTCTGGAACGCTCTTCCTTCCGATATTAGGAAACCATTGGAGCGATGCACTTTTAAATCTAGATTGAAAACTCATTTATTTAAAACAGTTTTTTGTGTGTTTTTAGTTTGTTGTCCTTACCCCGAACCTTCGCTTAGCACGGTTGGCTATGTATGGTGCGAAAGAAGTTCAACATACGGTACGTACTTGCAAACTGAGCCTTGGCAAACATCAGCGGTGAGTGATATCTCTGAACGGTGTTGTACCCCTACGGTGACCAACTTTGTGAAACTAAGTCAAACAATCCCCATCTCCGGGTCGCCCGGTTTTTTCCCTCCACATTTAGAAACATGCATTGAGATTATTTACATTATTTTGTTTGCTTCAAATGTCCAAATGATGGGCCACTTTTTGTTGAGCTATCATTTGTGGCCAGGTCGCTTCTGAACCGATAAGTTAATACCTCAGTGGGTTTTGCCTGGTAGGATGGGGATGGTTTAGTTGCATGTGTTTGTGTTTGAGTCATCTGTTTAGCTTCCTTTTACTTTGCACTACTATTATGCCTTTGTATTGTTTGTTGTTGTAACGTTCTTACCCAACCCTAATAGACATCAGTGAAAAAGAGCTTCATAGCTCATCATATTCCTCCAGTATAAATACAAATTCAGATTCTCACAAAGGGGTGCAAAATGCAACATAATAATTGTTGTCCTATACAGTATATGTATATTCTTGGTTCTTTCGGTAAAGTCACGTAGAAGGGAAACAATAAAATAATAGAAATATAAAACAATAAAATTCTCAGTGCGAAACCCACAGCAAGAAAAGGTTCTTGCTGTGGTTTTCACACCTGATGATGATTGCTTGTGTTGCAGTCGAAACGTCGTGATAATTTTATTGTTTCATATTTTTATTATTTTATTGTTTCCCTTCTACGTGACTTTACCGAAAGAACCAAGAACATGAATCCCTGCAGTCACGAAAGCTTTAAATCAGTATATGTATGTTGAACTTATTTCGCACTGCACGCAGTCAAGCGTGCTCATGTGAGCATGACAGTTTAGAAGAGCCTGCCAAAGCTGTTATGCCCTATCGCATGTTTTTACTGTTAAAAAAACAACCAAGCGTGACAGCATCAAGCCTAGGGACGTCTAACCTAAAGGAAGCACTTGCCAATAATGCTCACGTTGGCTTGGGTGTGCGACAGTGGCATTGACTATAGAGCAGTCGTTCTTAACCTGGGGTGCACGAGCCCCTGAGGGGTGCGAGATGTACAACTACTGTCCTTTGGTTCATCAAACCCATGTATTTATTAACATTATATATTGTTTTTTTTACTGCAGCTGCACCGGGATTCATGGATCGGTGGGACCCAAGGCACTTGGCTGTGAAGAGAGGGGAACATTGGATGGGGGTAGGCGGGGAGGCATTTAGTTCCTCGCACCAAGCCCCAGGGTAATTATGCTCTGCCCATTGCTGCGTGCCACATTACGGTGAGAGGTATGTAAGTGGGTTCTTTGGGGGGAGATGCTGAACCGTTAAATCTCCAGGCAACGGGCGATCACAGGAAACCCCTGGTATTGAAGGAGGTTGTGGGTTTGATCCCTGGCCCTGACGTCTGAATATTTGGAGTTTTGCATGTCTCTCCACGTGGTCACGTGGATTTCCCTCCGAATTTTGAAACAGGCGTTTCTTAGTATTTGTTATACATTTCCACATGGTTAAGCCACTTCGTTGAGCTGTCACTTGTGACCAGGTCGCTTCTAAAAAAAATTAATAGTTTGTTTATATTGTGCATTCCACGCGGTACATATAGAGCGTCTGAACGCGACCACATCTTCAAGACACCGTGTAGAAACAGTTAAAGGCAGTAAAATAAACAACAACACCACGGTTGCCCAAGTTGGATGCGAGGGATGAAACCAAGTTGGAGGGGGGGGGGTCACGTGGGTCACGAGGAATGTCCGACGATCCATGGTCCAATGGGCACTGCGGAATCCGATAATCATTGTTTTTTTTGCACAACCACCAGAAAGCCATCGGAAGGATAAAAACAACTATTGAGGCTGCAAGCACTTTGTGGTCTATTCCACTCGAGCTATTCCAGCTTTCAACGCTCATTTTGTGGCAATAAAAGGAGCAGGCGTTCCTGGAGAAATGAGCTGCGAACGGAGATAACCACTGCACCAATGGTTTGTTTTGCCATGTGGCGACCATGAGACTTTAAAAGTTATTAATTTATTTTTTTAATTTTGGCAAAACATTTACTGACGTCTGCATTGGCAAATGTTTTGCCACGGCTGACACGAGCAAATCTACCAGCAACGACTGCACAATTTTGGAAGGCATTTAATTTTCGGCCGTATAGCTACAGTCTGAATTTGGCGACGAAAGTTGGGGCACAGCTTACCCAGAAATATGAATGCACCGAAAAAATGACCAAAATGAAATACATTATTTTCAGAATAATATGAGAATAACCTCAAATGACGGTTACATGTTCCCTTTCTAATTTTGTGTATTCTCCTCCGTTGTGTAT